GCGGAAGCATTAAGGTGGGTGGATAATATTCCAGTCGAGAAATGGACAAGGTCATTTGATGGAGGGTGCAGATGGGGTCACATGACCACAAATCTTGTAGAATCCCTAAACGGCGTATTTAAGGGAACTAGGAACCTCCTCATCACTGCGTTGGTAAGGGCAACATATTACAGATTGGGGTCACTTTTTGCGGCAAGAGGCAAAAAATGGAGCGCTGTACTGCAATCAGGGCAAATATTCAGCGAATCAAGCATGAAGTATATGAGGGATGAAACTTCTAAGGCGGCCTCACATCGAGTTAGACCATTTGATCGTCACGATTACAGCTTCATTGTTGATGAGACAATGGATCACAATAAGGGTCGGCCAATGGGACACTACAGGGTGGAACTTCATAAAAATTGGTGCGACTGCGGAAAGTTTCAAACCTTTCGCATGCCTTGTTCACATGTCATTGCCGCATGTTCAACGGCTCGTCAGGATCCATTCTTGCAGCTATCAGAAGTTTACAAGGTCATGAACTTATTCGGTATCTACAGTAACAGTTTTCCAGTGGTAGCTAGTGAGGACTATTGGCCAACCTATCATGGAGACACAATCTACCACAATGAAAATATGAGAAGAAACAAAAAGGGTCGCCCCAAAAGCACCCGAATTACAACTGAAATGGATACAACTGAGAAAATGGAAAGATTGTGCGGAATATGTAGTCTTCCCGGGCATACGAGGAAAAATTGTCCAAATGTTGGAACAAGTTCTAGGTAGATTTAATTTGGTCATTAAAAATTGTGTAACCGTGGAATTTAATATTTATATCAACTTTTCATTACCACAAAAACGAATTGAAATACTTCTACAGCAACAACGCAAATCATTAAAAATACAATGATTATTATAACATAAACTAAGATATAACAACAATCAAAGTAATATCATCAGTTCCGAACATCATAGACCTAACTTCGTTGTCATCTCTAATTCGCACCCAGTCCCGCCGTATGTTTCCGTCTTCAACAGAGAAGTACGAGACAAGTCTTTCAATACTCCTAATTCTTTCACCATTTGGAATGTCTCCTTCTAGCCACTGATTCAAATTTCTTCGTAGTTGTTCTAAACTCTGGATGTTCCAAAATAACATCCTTATCAGAGGCTTCGTCGGTGAAAAAATTACATGCCCATATCTTCTAAGGTACATGACTCACTCTTCTAAATTTGGATGAAACAATGTTAACAACAAGTCTACCTATTTATAAAAAAAAATTGGAATAACATAATATTAAATTTTAATTATATTAATTATAATATATTTGAAAAATTATATTCGTTTAAAAGGAGCTCCATAGGGGATGGCGCCCCCTTTAAGTCATTTAAGGGAGGAGCCAAAGGGGATGACGCCCCCTTTATAATTTATAGGGTGCCTCCATCCTGGATGGCGCCCCCATATAAATTATAAGGGAGGAGCCATACCCCACGGCACCCCCTTGTAATAAAAAAAACGAAAGTTGGGTAGATTGGGAAATATGAGAGAAAGTAGGGTAGTTTGGATATTAGGGGGGGGGGGGGGGGGGGGGTAAAGTTGGTTATTTGGGTGAAAATTTCATTTTTTTTAATCCATTCACTATTGTAGCGATAATATGATTTCAATAGACTTGTTTATTCTTCATTGTTAGTTTCGGTAAATAAAAAAAAATAAATGTCACAATGAGTTATTATATATAGACTTATTTTAGTTACTGTAGCAATATATTTAGTAGGGAATTAGAACCTTGTTAAATATTAGATATTTGTATTAAATATTAAATATTTATTTAAAATATTGAATTAATTGTTGAATATTGACTAATTGTGGATATTGAATTTAATTATTGATGATTGATTAATTTTCTATGTTTAATCAGTATCGTGTGTTTTGGGAATTGATGTTGAATTATGTTGATAATTGTGTATTACTTGTTAAGTGTAGTGACGATGCTTAGAGTAATGAATATTATGATTTGAAAATGTGTTGTATGTGCAATTGTGTGGTAGTTCAAGTGTGATGAATTATTGAAGATATGCTTGAACATTAAGATTAGAGAATGGTCTTAATTGCATATGATTGTTAATTTGCACACGCATCATTTGTATCAAGATGCAATGTTTGTTAGTTCCGTGGAAGCTAGTGAGTTGTTCCAAACCTATAGCGGGGTTTGAAATCTTAGGGAATGAGCTTTTGTGTGTTATTGGTCTAGGGAACGAACCCGGTTTAATGTAAAAACTGAAAAATAATAACAAGTGTTTGGTACCATATGACATGAGTTGCATTGAGTCTCGTTGTGTATATATTTGTGCTCTGAGATTATGTGCATCTATGTGAATTGTTGAAATTGGTGAAATTGTGGATTGTGTGTATATACTTGTGAATGGTATGGTTACTTGAGTGATACTTTGTTGATGAAACTTTGAAGTGTGAGAATGATTGTGATTATACTTGTATGCCTTAAAATTATATATTATCTTATAATTTCAATAATTATGTGAATTCTCACCCTTCTGTTTGAATAATGTTTTATACGACATCAGTCAGGTACCGAGAAGTAGAGTTGCTTCTAGCGCGAGGTAGCCGTTGGAGTAGCTTGAATTGTGTCTTTATTTATTTTGGGTCGAGTCGTGCTCTGATCATGTAACACTGGAATCGTTTCGATTTATGTTTGAGAGATACATTATGTACTATGCTTTATTTTATTATTGTTATTTGAATTTTATGTGGAGTATTGGCTTTTATGCCTAAGTATTGATTATGAATGAGATGAGCACGAGACTTTCATTATGTCTATTATGATTGAAATAAATCCATTGCTACATGCTAATGTGAAAGTGTATGAAAAACATGAATTTATTTTAAGTGTTATTGAGCATGATATGTTTATGTGATGTTTTAAAATTTTATGTGACACCCTTATGTGAGATGCTTGATAATTACTCTGATTATTTATATTTATTCCGCGGGGCTTAGAAGGGTGTTACATAACGCGTTTAACCTTTGAGTCTTCAAGAGTTTTTATACTAATAGAGTCGTTGGGAGCAGACATCCTTAGAATGTATCATATTTTCTTGAGCCTTACAACTTTATAGACTCGAGCCGACAGGCTGATAAGACAATACAACTTGCTTTCAGTAGTACGAACAATCCACAACTTTATCACTAGCTCTGAATGGTACCAGATGATGATATACAATTATCAAGTGTAGAAACTCGTTTGAATGTTGAGGCATTCTGCTCAGAGTCTGCGTCAAACCACACTAGCAATTGTTCTTCAGACTCTGCCACCAGAAGCTAGCAATGAAGCAACTCCTAAGTGTGTCTAATTAAAACAGATTCTGATTATTTATGTACAAGAACTTGCATAGCACACATCAAATAAACCACTGTTCTTTTAATACTTTTGTTATCATCAAAACTAAAAGAGAAAATGTTAAGAACAAATCTTGTTCTAACACTCTCTCTTGGGAGTGTAGAGAATAATAGTAATTTTTCATATTATACTAGAGAACGTGGCTTCCCCGTTTGACTCCATCTACACACTGTTATGGACATGTACACATCACCTCCCTCGTTTCCATTAACGGGTTAGTACTCCAATAAAAGGGCGATCGTTACAGATAATGGGTAGAAGTTCCAATAAATAGACAACTCGGGAGCTGACAGGGGCAATATCTTGTGTTGCTTGTCCTTAGAGAACCTCTTTTAATGCCTCTTGTGTACCTCTTACAAATATACCAATACAAAATCTATGTTGAAAAATGATTAGAGAAATTTGACATGAGTACTTCGAAAGATCTAAGTATTTCATTGAAAAATCATTTTAAACTCTCACTAGATAAGTGTCTAAAAATGATAGAAGTTGAAAATATGTTAAAGAGTATTTATGTCAATATTATTTGTTATTTAATGTATGATATAGTTTGCAATAAATTAAATTTGACACAAGCTATAAATTAAGTTTACAAGTTTATGCCCAACTTAGGTAAACATTGGAAAGCAGTCAAATAAATTTGAGGGTCCAAAGAATTTCTATACTACTAGTAAGAATGTCAATGAAAAATATGCCTTTGCCGATTAACCTTTTTGGGAGATCTCTAAAATATTCAAAATTTAATCACCATATATAAAATATTAGTTTTTACCATTAAGTAGCCATCTTACATTTCTCTCCATTTGTTTATGCATGACAACGGGGCGGGCGGGAGTAGGTTTAACTATATCTGCACCCGCACTCTCTTTTATGTAGCGGACCTGATCCCGCTCCCAAACTCAATCAGAGATACAAACTTACCGCCCAAACCCGTCCCTAGTGGATAACGGGTTTCCCCGCACCTGCCCCGCCCCCACATGCAAAAAATTATTTTTTTTAATTGCAATAAAAATTAATAATTTAATTAAAAAATAATTATTTTAATAACATAATTAATTATTTAATAAAAAACTTAATTAATAAATAAATATTAACTTGATTAATTTGATTATTTTATACTGGAAAAAACTCAAGTCCCACATTAGTTAAAGATACAATCTACAAAGGATTTATATAGAGTGATACTCTTCACCTTATCAACCGATTTTATAGGGTTGAGTTAGATCAAACTCTAATTCTATCATGGTATCATGAGCCTATCGATTTGGGTCACCTATCATTTATATATGCGCATCAAGCCCAAAAAATGTTGGGCACAAGGGAGTGTATTGGAAAAACCAAGTCTCATATATCGATAATTCGGGCCACCCGCCCCTACATCCAATTAAATCATATTTTTTCTGTTAATTTTGAGGCACATTCAGGTGGCTTTAAGCATCTATTTTATAAGAGTTTTGACGTGTTACATTCCAAGAGGATAGGACATAAAAATTAAGACAAAGTTTAGTATATTGCAAATAATGAGAATAATCGTGAGTTACTAGGAGCATACTATTGTTATAGATCTAACAAACCACAATTTCTATCACAAAAACACAAGAAAAAATGGATGTTTTGTACACCATGTTGACTTTCATAGCCTTCACTTTTCTATCTCTTTTTCTAGCCATTTGTTTCATCATGATGACAATCTTCAAAGGAAAATCCATAGGGAACCCTAAATATGCACCTGTTAAAGGCACAGTGTTCAACCAACTTTTCTACTTCAAGAAACTCCATGATTACCATACTCAATTGGCCAAAACTCATCCAACCATGAGGCTTCTTGCTCCAAATCAAAGTGAGTTGTATACCATAGATGTGAGAAATATTGAACATGTATTGAAAACCAATTTTGATAAATATTCCAAAGGTAAGTATAATCAAGATATTGTGACTGATCTTTTGGGTGAGGGAATTTTTGCTGTTGATGGTGAAAAATGGAAGCAACAGAGAAAAGTTGCTAGCTATGAATTCTCCACAAGAGTTCTTAGAGATTTTAGTTGTTCCGTATTTAGAAAAAATGCTGCCAAATTAGTTAAAGTTATATCAGAATTTTCTCGCAACCGTCTTCATTTTGATATGCAAGTGAGTAGTTATTTATATTTTCCTATAATTTATGTTCAAGTTGTTTTGTTACTGTATGATGTTGATGCATTTGTTTTGTTTTTCTTAGGACTTACAAATGCGATGCGCTTTGGACTCTATATTCAAAGTTGGATTTGGAACAGAATTGAATTGCTTAGAGGGATCAAACAAAGAGGGAATTGAATTCATGAAAGCCTTTGATGAATCAAATGCTATAATTTACTGGCGCTACGTTGATCCTTTTTGGAGCCTTAAGAAGCTTCTAAACTTGGGTGGCGAAGCGAAGCTTAAAAACAATGTGAAATTGATAGATGAATTTGTGAATGGAGTGATAAAGACTAAAAAGAAACAATTGGCACTACAACAAGATTCTGTAAGTTGATCGATTCCTTGTTTCGACAATTAATGATGCGAATGATTTTCTGTTTTTATTTTTCAGAATGTGAAAGAAGATATACTATCAAGATTTTTAATGGAAAGCGAGAAAGGCGGAACAAATATAAGTGATAAGTATTTGAGGGATATAATTCTCAACTTTATGATAGCTGGAAAAGACACGACAGCGAACACTCTTTCGTGGTTCTTCTACATGTTATGCAAGAACCCTCTTGTTGAGGACAAGATTGTGCAAGAAATAAAAGATGTGACTTGTTGTAGTGATGAAAGTGAAGTCAAGATAGATGAGTTTGTTGTGAATTTAAGAGATGAAATAGTTGATAAAATGCATTATCTTCATGCAGCTCTGACAGAGACATTGAGATTGTACCCTGTAGTGGCTATAGTATGTACCTTTCATAAACAACATTAGATATTTGATTATATTTTTGTTTGCTTAATATGATATTGTTTTTTGAAGGATGGAAGAACTGCAGATGCACCCGATGTTCTTCCGGATGGATACAAACTAGAAAAGGGTGATGGGGTTTACTACTTGGCATACGCTATGGGTCGAATGACTTCCATTTGGGGAGAAGACGCGGAGGAGTTTCGCCCGGAAAGATGGATTAATGAAGGAATTTTTCAACCAGAATCACCATTCAAATTTGTAGCATTTCATGTAATTTGTATATTTGTTTCAGAATTGATATTATTTATGATCATCGGAGGTGCTCTAAGTTTTCAAGTTTGATTGTAGGGTGGACCTCGCATGTGTTTAGGGAAGGACTTTGCATACAGACAAATGAAAATAGTAGCAATCACTCTTTTGCATTTCTTCAAATTTAAATTGGCGAATGGAATACAAAATGTGACTTATAAGGTCATGTTTACTCTTCATTTGGACAAGGGTCTCCCTCTCAATGCAATTCCAAGGTCGTGAGTGAGATGACATGTGAAGTAAAGATATGAAATATTGTAGATAGGTCTTTAGCTCTACGGATCATTGACCCCGCCATGTTAATATCTTGCTAGAGAATTTGGTAGTATTATGTAAATAGACTTTTCTTTGGCGTTTTATCAATCGCAATATAAATGTTTTCATATTCTTCTTCTTTCTGTGCATGGATGCGTAACACTCTTCAATACAATTAACATAACATCATACCAATTCATTTCATCTATCTATTGTCTATTATTTATTATATATTATCTATTATAATATATTAAAAATAAGTCTCACACTATTTTATTGATAATTTATTTTTTTATCAGCTACATCACTAAAAATTTGATATGGTATTCTTTGTTGAATTGTAATTCCTTTTGTTGAAACAGGTTGTTCGACGGAGACAAGAAAATTGTCGAAATAGCCTAGGGTGGGTGTCGAAACACCTGTTGTCGAACTGTCGAGGAGTTAGTCTCGACATGGATTTTGTCTTAAACCTAATTTTATAGTTTGGCAGAATTAGGTATTTTAGACTTTTATTTTTGGGCTTTACTTAGGGAGCAAGCAAGATAAATCTATAAATGGGGAGTAACTCTATTATTGTAAAGTTATTCACTTGAATAAAATTGCAGTTTTGCGAGCAGAGAGTTACTCTGCGAAAAATTTTCTTCTTTATTTTGTTTTGAATCCCTAATTTCCTTTCTTCCCAGTTCAATCTTTTCTTATTTTTCATCACCATTGTGCAGCGATACAATTGTGCAACCAAGGTTGGTTGATTCACTCAAGTGAAGAGTGAAGAACAAGAGAGAATTTGATTGGTGTGATTAAATCTTGTTCATCAAGATTGATTCGGAATTACTCGAAGTCTTGGGTTTAATTCCAACATCTGATATCTAAAGCACTGGCTAAGCAATTAGTGGGAAGAAAAACACGATGGCAATAACGATGAATCATTTGAATGGAAATTTTCCAGTGAGTCTCTCAATTCTGAAGGGTCGACATTACGAGAATCGATGTAAATAGATTAAGGTTGTTTTCTATTGTCATGATCTTTGAGATCTTGTGAAGGAAGGAGTAACACCACTTGCAGAAAACGCGTTGGATCAAGAAAAAGCTACATACAAAGAATTCAAAAGAAAAATTATAAAGCTCTCTTTATAATTCACCAATGTGTTGATCTAGACAACTTCAAAAAGGTCGGTGATGTATAATCAGCGAAAGAAGCATGAGAGATCTTGGAGAAATTGTTTGGAGGAGTAGAGAAGGTGAAAGATGTGAAGTTAGAAACTCACAAGAGAACGTATGAATTGCTTCAGATGGAAGAAAGTGAAAGCATAACAGAATTTTTCACTAGGGTTACAAAATTGGTGAATCAAATCAAGGTGTATGGAGAACTGTTGACATCAAGATCAGTTGTTACAAAGATCTTAAGATCATTGGATACAAAGTTCAACCACATGGTAGTAGCCATAAAAGTGTCGAAAGATTTGTTAAGTTTGACAAAGGAAGAAATTCAAGTGACGCCTGAATCTCATGAACAAAGAATGGTTGAAAGAGCTGCAAGAAAGTCGAAGAGTGATGTGTCTCTGCAGGCGCAATCAGCAAAAGAAAAGAAAGGCAGTGGAAGTTAAAAATGTAACGTCCGAATTATTTTATTTATTTTCCGTAATTTAATTATGTGATGTTGTGAATACGTGTGTGCTTAATGATGCTTTTGGGATATTTGAGTTGTCCTTGGTGTGGGGTAGTGGCGTTAAGAATAGACTTTAAGGTATTGGTGGTGTATGACCAATTGTGTATAACTTGGTGGTGTGGTAAGAATGACTAATTAAATTATATTAGTCATATTTAGTTAATTATAATATTAGTCGAATATTATTAAATTAAATAATTAGTGATTATTACTATTATTATTTTAATTATAAGGGAATAATATTAATAATAATAATATAATAATAAGAAAAAGGGAAGTTGAGAGGGGGAAGTTGTCAGAACGTGTTTTTGGAGAACAAGAGACAAAGAGAAGAAGAGGTTTGAGCAAGGAAGAGAGAAGACTCCATTGTTGTGAAGTTTTTTGCAAGAACTCTATGGTAAGAGTGAGGTTCTAATTATCTAAGGGATAACATGATGATGGTGGGTAGATTATGTCATGTAGCATTTGTGTTTTTCTCCTCTTTATTCATAATTTTGATGAATTGGTAATTGTTGGATTCGATAAATTTATTGATGAATGTTGTGTGTGATATGTCGATGTTGTGACTGATGTTAGTATGATTCATTATTGTAATTGTTGTGGTTGAAATTATGTGATTGATTAATTGTATGATGTTGATGTTGTTTGTTGTGTGTGATCGCGATTCAGAGTCAGAACTCAGATTATGGATGTTTTCGGGGAGAATAATTAGGGTTTTGATGTTTAGGAAAACTAACTTTTGAGTAAAACTATGTTTTACACAAATTGTATGATAATTGGGATTTTGGGGTGTGCCAAAAAGTGTTTTTTTGTACTGATAAGCATAAAAGAAGTGCTTTTGCTGCAGGTGCAATCGGTTATTAGAAAATGGCTAACTGGTTACGCTGTTGAAAAATTGTGTTTTTTGGAAAAATCTATGAGGGTGTAATCAGTTACCATGATTGAGGTAACCGGTTACACTGTATGTACTTTGTATGACAGTAGCTGGTTACAAGGGGTGTAACTGGTTACCTCATTTTGAGTAACCGGTTACACTAGGACCATTTTTGAAAAATCTTTAAAATTTTATAACTTTTGTTCTGGGTGTCCGATTCGAGTGTCCTTCGAAGCGTTAGAAAGCTAACATGATGAAATTTAATCTAAAAATAGTTTATGTGCCAGAAGTTGAATAATTTTTCTATATGATGGTGTGGAGCGCATTATTATCATTATGTTGTGGTGTGACATAATTGTAAATTTCTTTGTAGTTGCTTACTATGATGTATGTCGATGTTGTTGGACTTTATAACGCGGTATGTTGTAGCTTGTACTGGTGTGATGCATGGTTAGATGTGTTAGAACACAGATTGGTTCTTAATAATATCTCTATGTTTTGATGATAACTACTAGGAAATTTTGTATTTAAGAATTATATACTCTAAAATTTGCTTGAGAGTTTTTACTGTAGATAGTAAAGAAATTAATACTCCATAAGCAAATCAGAATTGAATGCAAGAAATTAACTAGACTTTGAAGCGCCAGATGCACTCATTAGAAGATTCTGATTGCTGCCAACAGAAGATTCTGAGCGTAGCCTCCAGAAGATTCTGAAGCAGAAGCTCCAGAAAAATCTGAAACAGAAGCTCCAGAAGAATCTGAAGCAAGTCAGAAGCATCTGAAGCAAAGAAGAATTTTGTATGATGAGTTTTTCAAAGCATAGATTCTATAGAAGTTTCTGAAAGTACTAAAGCTTCTAGTACTGAAGTTCTGTTCCAAATATGCTCTGATATTTAACACGCTGAAAGCACACCTGCTGCAGAAGACTCTGATCCAGTAAGCTCTGATCATCATTAGAAGACTCTGACCCAATCAGACTCTGATGAACTTGCTGAAAACTGAAGAAGAAATATTCAAAGATTATATCCGTTGGAGTAAATCAAACGTCTCTTTCCTTATTTATGCTAGACACAAGAACACAGACAAAAAGGATTTTTCTGTGCTTTCTTCTTCTAGGAAAGGTCACTTGATGTGAAGACAAAAAGGCTCAGACCTTTTGGGACACTCTTCTCAACGTGCAGCTCCCTTGGATCAACTGCCTATAAAAGTAAGTCTCCACCAAATTCTTCAGTTAGACATTTTGCTGAAAAGAAATTAAAACATTCAAGCTCTCATACTTTCATATTCATTCTTAGAATTAATTTCATTGTACTTAAACTTAAGAGAAATATCACTGTTGTGATTAAAGCTTTTTAGAAGCATTCTTACTCTTGTATTAGATTTACTTTGATTGTAAAAAATTTCCTTAAGAGGATTCAGTTGGAATCAGTAGCTCTTGAGAAGACTAAGAACAGTTGTTCTTAGGTGTTACTATTGTAATCTGTTTGATTAAATAGTGGATTAAGTCCTTGTTTGAGAAAGGCAAATCACTCTAGGAAGGGTGGACTGGAGTAGTTGAGTTCAATGAACCAGGATAAAAATACTTGTGTTTTTTATTCTAAGTTTTAATCTTTCATACTTATTCAACCCCCCTTCTAAGTATTATCTCACCTTCAGTTGGCATCAGAGCTCTGGTTCTGTGTGTGCTACCACTTAACAGTGTCAGTAAAGATCCAAAGAGAAATACTTTGATATATATTTAGTTGTTACAATGGCTGATAATACAATATCCAATGTTAACAATAAATATGAAGAAAGGGACAGAATCAGCACCAAACCCCCTATGTTTGATGGGGAGAAATTTGATTACTGGAAAGACAGAATTGAAAGTTTTTTTCTTGGATATGATGTTGATTTATGGGATCTAGTCATAGATGGATATGTTCATCCCACAGATGGGAATGGCAAGAAGATAGATCGAAAATCTATGATAGATGCTCAGAAGAAAGATTTTAGAAATCATCACAAGGCCAGAACAATATTATTGAATGCAATTTCTCATACTGAGTATGAAAAAATTACAAACAGGGAAACTACTTTTGATATTTTGAATCCTTAAAGATGACTCATGAGGGAAACTCTCAAGTCAAGGAAACAAAAGCTCTGGCTCTGATCCAGAAGTATGAGGCCTTCAAGATGGAAGACTATGAATCTGTTGAAGCTATGTTCTCCATATTTCAGATCCTCACAGCTGGGCTAAAGGTTCTGGACAAGGGATACTCCACATCAGATCATGTAAAGAAAATCATCAGAAGTCTACCTACCAGATGGAGACCAATGGTGACTGCCTTGAAGATGGCTAAAGATCTGAACAAGATCTCTTTGGAAGAACTCATCAGCTTACTAAGGATCCATGAAATTGAGCTTGAGGAAGATGAACCTCAGA